CAAAAAAGGTTGGGGACCGCTGCTTTAAGTGACCAACCAAGCAGCTACCACCACCATGGCCAAAATGTAAAAGCAACAAGGAAAATGGCCAATAGATACTTTCTCCAAAAGAAACTGTAGCTTCCTAGCTACAGCCATTGGAAAGGAGCCAACATGTCTCTCAAAATGAAAATCAACATTTTTTATTCTTGAATGCAACCAATATGGTTATGCGATCCAATATTACAACACCACAAAAACTATAGCTGAAAATGACCTGCCATTTTAGCATTGAATTTAATACTAATAATGTACACAGTGAATTGGACTGGGCTGACTTTGTCAAAACCAAGGCTGGATCTAGCATTTGAGGCATTCATAATACAGTTTGTTAAATGGCCTATAGAGACGTTCACCCTTTATGCCACTGTACAACATCTGCACAGATGAGTAAGATGTAAATCTACTAGATGTTAGCTTTGCAGTAAAATGAATGATAACAATATTCCCATTTCATCAGTACCAGACTTAACACAAGATGATGTCCATTCACTTTTCCTTTCATTTAAACCATGTCCTGGCCAACAGTGAAACAGCACTCTGTCTCACAAACACATAATAACTCAAGAAGTGCCAACAGCTCTTCAATTGATAAATAAAGAGAAGGAGATTATGATTCCAGTCCACTGCTTCAACAATGTGTTGTTCCGTGTTGTGCTATCTTGTAAATGCCAAATTGATGTTGATTTACACTGTGAGCAAGCACACGTGCTGTCCTGAGCAAGAACCTGGTTGTAGTATGAGATAAATAGGATTCTGAGTGTGTGTGTGTGTGAGAGAGAGTGTGAAGGAGAAAGAGAGACTGAAGAGGTGCAGTCTTTTATTAGATGTGCCATGAAGGCATGTTTCTCTGTCAGCTTGTGATAGGCTTAAGTATTTGTGCCATGCTGCAATCAGTGTAGTTATTTTTGTTACTCGTTCCCTTTCCACTGCCAAACCTGTTCCATCTTACCCCATGTTTTCTATACCTATAGCTTATTTCCAATGGATGAGATTTGACTTTACAGGTTATTTGAAGTTAACCTATAAAAGTATCAACTTTTAAATAAGTATATTAAATGTATTGACATATCAAGTGTTTAGCCGTCTAAGAGGCTCTCTTCTAGCAAAAACTCTTGCTTCTGTGTCGACTGAAAATTATGACGAGACAGATGTGTCACTACTGATCGTATGGGGCAAAATAACCCCTTCACCCAAACGGCTAAAACAAACGAACAGGATGTCTGAATAATGAAATGAAACAAAATGAAAATGCAGTTTGCTTATCAGGTTACCAAAACAGACAGACATCCAACCTGTAGTTTGGTGGTTCCAGCACTCAGTCCTATTAGGACTTGACCCTCCGACAGCTGCGCTACCTTCGGGTCCGCCACCCTCAGAGAATCCTTCACCAGTTGCGTAACCTCCACCTGCCAGTCACTACCCAAAAGGAAGTTCTGCTGGCCCAGTCCGTCCTCCTCCGGGGCTCCTCTAACTTCTCCAGTATCTGCCACAAAATGAGTGAGGACACGCAGAGTGGTGCTCTGATACTGGGCCACACAGCTGTTGTCTGTCCTCTCATCAGCTCCATTGTCTTCATCCTTGTCATCAGTGACCCTCTCATACCTACAGGGATGGGAAAACAGATGAACAATGGGAATAAAGCACAGATCAATTGCTTATAATAGTGAGGAGTATTAGACACAGATGGTTTAAGCATACTTCAGGTTGTTTCAGGGGTAAAAAGTACTGAAAGCTCTTTGTGTCTGGAGAAATCCTAAGGAGACAAAGATACTTTGAAGGTTATCAACAGTATAATTCTGCTTTTTCCTATCATAATTCAATGTAATTCATTTTTTTCTTATCGCCATTAATGCCCACGAAGTCTAAACCCTCTGATGTATTTACTGCAGTCAATGTTGACTCTGTTGTGCTGCAGGTTTTCCCAACCTCCCGAAAGTCGTAGGCTCCCAGTGTTTTCAAAAGTCCATTAAAAACAGCTTGCAGAGACAAACTGCTGCCTTGCTTGCGTTCTCATTTTCTTTAAAAGGGCAACTGATATTTTGCTGTACGTCTGCCATTTATTTGGCCCACGGCAAACACTTTGCAAATATAGCTATCTCAGAAGATATGTTTTGTAGCAAAAGGGGAATTTTATGACACATCTGTTCTATGCTTTAAGTCTAAGTTTGTATGACCCTTTATCACATTAACAGGCCCACATTAGACTGGAAAGGTAGAAAATGAAGGATGAAAGGGGAAAACAACCCTATTACTGTGAAAACATTTAAAAATCCTACAAAGAATTATGGAAGAAGGAAAATAGGTGTCACTGTGGACCTTATACGACATTGAAACATTTATACAAATAGACAGTGTAGTATAAAGCGCGCACAGTGTGCAATTTAAGAAGATAAAATACAGTCTCAAACCATTACTAGGCAAGACTTATATGGCACCAGGATGTTTTATACAAGTTTCAGTGTACTTTATAAAATAAAAAAGCAAAAACAAAACAAAATAAAAGTTCATAAAATATCCTACTTTGCTGCATTAAGGGGTCCATTTGATTCTATTCTCTGCTCTACTGTATTTTTAAAGCACTTTGTCTCACTTCATGATTAACTGGAATTTACTGTACCTCCTGTTCCAATTCTTTCCAAAAATACATTAAAAGTGCTTGTAGACACAAACTGCTCCCTCGGTTACTATAATACATCATATCAAACAACAACATATTGTATTTTTTGGTCCCCAGGCTTAGCCGCGGGAGCTGCAGTGATGGGTAAAATGTGGCCTCGGGACACGGATCCGCTCTAAAGAGTTTGACCATGTTGATGATGAAGAGAAACATTGCTATGGCTATAATGCGTATACATTAGTCTTATCCTTCCGCTCTTCATCTTTCATCACTCTTTATCACTGGATATATGTCTATTTTGTTGTCCTGTGCATTGCCATCTCTCACACTGCATGCCTGGCTCTCACTCTATATTTCTCACATCCATTTCTAACTTGACTTTTCTATAATCTATTTTTCGACTCGCACTGTTTTTCTCTCTCTCTCCCTCTTCACTCTCACTCTCTTACTCTTTCGAGCTCTGCTTGCATCTCTCTCTCTAACAGTCAGGTGGCCGGGGGGAGTGACAGTGACAGTTTCCATTAGGTTTAATGAGGCATGGCCGGTCAGGCAGAAAAACGGGCTGACAGGTTAACATGCTGTGGCCCAATGGCTTGGCTTAGTTCCTAACCTCTTTCCACCATCCCCTCCCCTTCCCTTATTCCACATCAGTGAAGGGACGGCAATCTAAACCAAGGTGACGTTTGTGGCTGGCAACAGAAACATGAGGTCAGGTCATGTTTGTAGCAGTGAGTGACAGGTCAGCCAAGGTGCCAGAGTGTAATGAGGTAGCTTACATGCGTGAATGTGAATGCGCGCACATTGATAAAGCCATGCAGAGAAAACATTTTATTTTTTTCATTTAGCTTTCTCTCTTACAAATGCACATAAACTTCACATATCATGCATTCTTCATACGGTGAGGCGCTTGACAGACATGACTGATGTGCTCAGGCGTTGGTAGCCTAGGGGGTATTTGTGTTAGAGTGCCACCCTGTGGGGTGTAAGCCAGTGGGAGATGACACCGCAGTGACTTTGTGGCAGGAATGTGCTGTTTTCTGTACAGATGTTTAATGCATATATTATTATATAAGTTATATTTAAACATTTAACGCTACTGCTAATTAGGACTCCTAAAAATCTGACTCAAACAAGCTAAAACTTCCCCAATGTCACCAACAATAAAGAGGGCGTATATGTCAACTGCTACATCATATTAATTACTGTTTTCATATCACAGTATAAATTGTACATGAATGTGTAATATCATGGCTCTGAAGAGGCTAAACACAGGGGCACATGGAATAATTTAATTTAGTGTTACATTACAAACACATCAGTGTTTTGGTGGTTTCATGTCTTCACCCTATCTGTCTGTGTGATCACAATATATAATAATTATAATGGCTTTTATTAAATGTAAATTAGTCAGTGTGCTTCGGTGATCGTTTATTTTAATGTAAATAGGGTAATTTTTATTTTAATCAGCCGTATTCATATTTGAAGAAAAATCACTCATTTAAATATTTTTATTACCACCTTCTTGTACAACTCACGATGCGCCGCACAGATCATTGTGCACAGTGTCACTTTTCAGCCTCAGGAATTTTGTCCATGCTCTGTAATGCTCAAAATTATTACTCATTTCTTATTCAGCATAAGTACCTTTTTGGGAGACTGAATTATTAGACACTCATTATACCACCTCTGCAGCTGCACCTGCATTTTATGCCTCATATGTCTGCACCAACACTACCAAGCCATTTTATTGTAACGTCCATTCATTTTTACCTGTGAAGAATGTGATTCAGATTCTCATGCATGGTTAAAAATCAGGTTATCAACTTAAATAGAGAAATTTAAAGATATGTCCAGGAACCGTTTTAAAATGACCAACTGCTGTTATATATGGGTACTCATTGGATAAATCAAAAAATCGATTTTGCGTGTGGACTAATCATTCAGCTTGTTCAAGAGTTTAGTGTTAAGCAAGGATCATGTTGAGCTGCCTTGAAGCTGCTGGTGCTGTGCTGCAGTGTTCACTTTATAGGTGTATATTTAAGAATACTGCACAGTACAAAATGCAACAGTATAGGTGCAAAAGAGGCCTTACCTTCTGTTCCCTGCACTGACAGGGACCCTCCAGCCCTTTATCTGGCTGAGCTCGGGGTCGGCCACATCGATTAGCAAGGGCAAGCGGGGCATCCATACACTCATCTCAAGTTGGGCGCTTAGAAAACTGTAGGTAAAGTTGAGCATCACCCTGCTCTTGCCTCTTGTCTCCTTCCCATTGACGTACACATAGTCACAGCGCTCTGACACCTGGAGAAAAAAGGGAACAATGAGAGGCAGGATGGGAGACGGGCAAGAGATAAAGAAAGACAAATCAATTTTAGATTTAAAACTTGGAGAAAAGATGACAAAGTATTCAAATTCTTTAAAATAACTAATTTAAATATAATTTTGCTAAAATGTATCATGGATGTAGTTGCGAAATTTTGTCATTTTGGACAATTTAAGGAAGATTTCCAGTTTTTGTCCAGTTGAAGATTTTCAGTCAACAGCCTCTTCTGACATGCTTGGAGGGTGGAAAGATTTGGCATTGCTTCAATGAAACCTCAAGTGTCAGGTCTGCTCAGTTTCCTCTCTGCTTGTGTGTGCGGTTGAATGTGTGCGAATGCATATTTAATGCGTGCGCTCGCAGGATAATATGTGTGCAAGGAATATGACTTTGGTCCAACTTAACAGATGGAGCTGAGAAAAGACACAAAACCTGCTTCATCCAACCAGAGAACAAAACACTTGCTCGAACCAAATTCTGATTGGCTGGATGAAGTACAACTCCAATCAGGTTTCTCAGATGCGTCTCCAACATAGAGAAATTATATAGCAAGAACATCACAAGTGTCTGTTATTATATTCAAAGCACCACAATCTCCGCATCAAATATTTTTTCCCCCTTTGACGACCAAATCCATTTAACGATCTGTCATTAAAATTGTGCTTGTAATCACTTGCATTTCAATTCATTTCAATCTCAAATACCATCATACGCTTGATTGGCACAACTAGTAATTTCAGCAGAATTCCTCAGTACTGACAGTTGCTTTTTTATAACGAACCAGTCACAAGAAGACTGTCATCTGCCTCCACGTCTTTGCATATAACTTGGCAGCTTTACTCTCAAATGATGTCAGACCAGCCCCTATCTCTGAGCAACAAAACTGACAGCTTGGGATCTGTCAGCTCTCTCCTCCTCCCTTTCGTTTCCTCTTTCTCTCCCACTCTTTTACCCTCACCCTCGGTCTACTACTGTATTACTGTACCTCCTACATGTTCAATCTTCCTGTAATAAGAACGGGTGGTGCTTCAGGAAGGCCTTTCAAAGTCGGAGAAAGGTTTCATCTGGATTTCTGTTCAATTGATCAGTTTCATAAATCAAATCTGTGAAATGTATTTGTCATGTCAGTGTGTACAATCAATATCAAAATTATGTGGCATAGCCTTTCTTTGATAAGACCAACTGTCATCACATAAAGCAGTGTTTCTCAAACTTTTTACACAGTATACAACCTCAACACCACAAAACATTGGACTGTCCAAGTACCACCATTATGGCTGACATTAGAATGCAGTAGTCTACTCTATTCAGCTATGGAGAGTTCACACAGGAGGCAGCTTTATTCCTTAGAAACCTAATAAAGAACTGGCACTTACACTCTTCCACAAAAATCTCATACACTGCAAGGTGTATGCGTGCGCTATGTGCATGGTTGTGGCTACCGTTAACAGTATATATAAGGTAACTACTAGCAGTTAAGTTAGAATTTCCATTCTGAATTTTGTCGTATTCTGATAATATTATATATTAAATAATAGATTAAGAACCAATGACTTACAGTGCAAGTCAAATAATAACTTTGCATGAATTCATGCTTTTATATGACCATATCAATTACTTGATTAAAAGCTGTGAAAATGAAAATGTTCCATGTAGTTAGAACTGAGATTTAATGAATTGATTGATTGTCAGATACTTCATTTGCAACAGTTTAAATAATTTAAATGATTCATTGATTATCAAAGATAAAATGCTAAACACTGACTGTTTTCCTTCTTCTCAAAATGTAGGATTTGCCGCCTTTCTTTGTTTTATCTTTTTAAATGAATAATTACCTTTGGGTTTTGGACTGTTGGACGGACATTCACAGGTATCACCTTGCACTCTTCTGGACATGTTTTACTATTGCCTGACATTGTTTAGTCAAAGCAAATAATCGAGTAATCGCATATCAGAAAAATGAAAATAAAAATGATTATCAGTTACAGCCATACTTATCTAAGAAAGAAATAACACAATACTTTGATAATACTAGTTTCTTAAAACAGCCCCTCTTTGCCCTCATTGGTGCTGAACAGTTAATGCGAGTTGATGATAATGGATAATATACAGTATGGACCGTAAACGAGGTAGGTAGGTGTGTGCACGTCACACACATACTGTTCACGACATGCACTAATGTGCTGGGTTTCTAAAGGCAGCCATCCAGAGAGTGAGCTGAAAGAATCCACTTCACTCCTTATTAAGTCTCTTAAGCCTCACCTCTATTTTTGTTACTTTTTGCACCCTTCATTTTCTCCAGCACTCTCACACTCTCTCTCTCTCTCATGCCCTAATGCTGAAACTACCTTTCAATCTCTAGTTTTGTTCCACTTTGTCTCTACATTCTAGATCCATCTTTATCTTTCTTTCTTAAAGGTATCGGAGATGATAGCCGTAAAGATTTAATTGAGATCTCTGTAAGGTGACATATTCTGCACAGCATGAAAAATGTAGCACTTGACTGATCTCGCTAGCTGCAGTTATCACCATTAATGTGTCATGAAACCACGCACAAATCAATGTCACTTCTCCATGGAAACAATCCATTGTGTTGATAATCACGCAGGCTTGAAATTTATCCAGAGTGACATGCACAAACACAGATAAGGACACCACAGAATACAATTCAGATTCAGAGTCTATGACGCTCACATTGTACTGTACTGGAATCTTTGGGCTATGGCCATTTGCTAAAGAATGTTAAGATTTCTTTAATTCACTAAAAAATAAATTGTCTTGTAACTGGAAATCAGGGCACTGAGCATCAGTGGTATTTTTCTTAGATGATTCCAGCTGAGAGCTGTAAGTGTGTGAAATTTCATCATTCTAAACTATAAAGACTCACTAAAACTATAAATTATATCCTAGTGTGAGGTTCAGTGGTTTATCTGGAACACCTTAGGGCTCTACATAATTGTAATAAAAAGTGAAACATCAAGACTCACATTAAAACAGAAGATCAAAACACTCACGCATATTTTGATTCTGTTCGTTGAGCTTCATATTACTATTTGTCTTAATTTATATTAAAATCAATCTGCCTTTAAGAAATAAAGACCTGGGGGAGGATATGTTGTAATACCTAGCTTTCAAGGTTGTTTTTAGATTTGATGAACATTAGTACATTTCCCCCACTGTCCATTTTTCACCGTTTTCACCTATTATTTTATCAGAAAATATTCTAACAATGTTTGTCTTTTTGCCATCACAAAGCATCAGCAGCGTCCTGCTAATTCCTGGACTTGCCAAACGATGTTTAGCAAATGCAAAATTTTAAAACTTGCTGTTTTTAAAAACTGCTGCATTTAAGGATAAAGGCCCAATGGCAAGGATATGACCAAATTTTTCTTATCCTAACTATATTGTGGGTGTTTGATTTTCCAATAATATAACTATTGACTGCTAATAATGTGAATTTAGAGCTTATTTGAATGCAGGGGCAGTTTTCAAACAGGTGATATTGTAACTTTGCTTAAAAAATGTTCATTTTTCTGTAGTAATTTTGCGTTCCTCACAAAATGTTACCTCGCAATAGAGTTTGTGTTCCCTGGTAATATGTTCTGTATTCCCTCTGATCCATAAAGGAAGGCTGAGCTGCATTATGATACAATCTTATGTATTATGTAATAGACCGCCCCCTGGTTGTGGCCCTGGGATGATATAGCTTTGGCCATGACTGTGCATTGATATGATTATGGCCGTGACACATTAGTTTTTAAGAGGCGTAACAGTGCATGCAGAGGCTGTATATGTGCAGTTAATTGACATGGTGGTGCTGGCTGAGCACTGTAGTGAAGCTACTGTATTCTTGAACTCCTGTGATGTATTGGTAAAACACATCTGTCATATCTTATAGATGCAGCGCAGGTTAAAATCCTGTGAGGCTTAACGAAATTAATCTGTGCTGTAAAGAGTAGCAACAGTACAGCTACTGTAGCCACATCCATAGAACCATAGATACAACTATAACTGCAGCCATTGTCCAAGCAATAACCATATTGACAGCTTCAACCGTCACAGACAGGAAAAGTGCTCTGCCTTTTCAAGTGAGCAATAAACGCATCATATAAAGTGTGACATGTCACATCATCTCTCCTGTCTGTTGTATCTGCTGAGCGTTTCCCTAAACTGACTGTATATTATAACTGGACTGGACCAACACACTAACGGAAGTAGTTCAGAAAAGAAATCCCGCTGTGAGCTCCATAGTCAAGTTTATGTTATGCCGAGAATCAACTTGTTCATCAGTCACTTAGGGCTAATAATAACTAACAATCATCTTCTAATCTAATAATCTGCTGATTATTTTTCCGAATTCATTCATCAATTAATTTTTTGATTTATATATTTTCAGAAAAAAGGGAAATAGTGACAATGATGTTCAATCCAAGGTGTCTTTGAATTGCTTGTTTTGCTTGAACAACAATCCAAAACCCAAAGATATTTAATTTGCTATCATTAAAGACTGAGAAAACCTGCAAATATTGACAAGCAATTATCAAAATAGTGAAATAGTATACAGTCAACATAAAATCTAATGATAGGCTTTGTAAATGTTGTGCATTACCAGTGAGCTATTTCCAATTTGTAGTGGTGGGGTAAAATAAAGAGAACAGCCAATAAGATGTGGCCTTTACAGGTTTAGGTTCAGGATTATTTTATGGTGGTCCATGCTGAGGGAAGAACTTAATCCTCAAAGTTTCTGTGAGGGAAGAGAGATCCTGATCAAAAAAGTGTTTTGAGTTTCCTTTGAAAATAGGGTGGAGAAAGGAGGGGTACCGCTTACTGTTCCCAAACTAGACGGGTGGGCAGGGGAGTGCGCTACCGAGGTCAGCGTCGCAATGTGTGGTACTACTTCAGTGGATAATTAAACCCTTAGAGAGATCTGCCTCTTCTCTCTGATATGCATGTACTGCACACATACAACACACAAAATAACACACACACAAACACACACACACACGCACAGCTGCAACACTATTATTTTTCTTTCACACATACTGACAATTAAGAACAAACAGTTTATTTTTTCTCATTTCTCTCACTTCACTCATTTTCTCGCTTCTCCTTTCGCATAATAGGATGGGGACACACTGAAGGGCAAAAATATTAAATCTAATGTTGCCACAGTAAAAAAGCTCAATCTTTACCTACCACAGTGGATAAAGATACTGGTTTTTAAAATGTTTAGATTAACAGTAAATCTTATGTAACATTTCCCAAAGCATTCAATAAGGTTTTATATTAATTACGCAAGCTTTCAGAGAGCCTGATGAAAATCCATTTAGAGAGATTTGAAACTTGCTCAAGATAGGAAATCAATCATGCTGAACGTTTTGCCACCTTTATTGTTTGTAAGAGCTCTCTTATTGGCAAATGGTAATGAAGTTGCAAACTGGGGCTTTTGAGAAAACTCTTCTAGTTAGGACATAAAGTTGGATTTCAAACAACAACCTTTTTAAATGCAGGAGATGAAATTCTTACTGTGCTTTTCAAAACATAATGTATATGCAACGCAATTACATTATTTTAACATTATCTGGAGGCAAGTAAAATGAGCTAAGGGAAATGACAGTGGCATCAGCTACAAGCTGCAGAATAAACAGCAACTTTTGTCTAATATGAATTCGAGCTGCTATCTTCTTGTATTTTGGCTCCACCATATCAGATGGGGAAGTATAGATTTCAGGCAACAACATGATCAGAAACAAGCACATACTAGTAGTCTTTTAAAAAAAAAGAAATCTTGTACATCTGCTGTTCTAAATTTTTTATATTCTGCTCCCTCTCACTAAAAAAACTGTTCATATTTACAGTCTGTCATTTCTTTTAATAAAATCACTGTGGCCTTTTATGTATCAGTATGTTTTCTCTCATTCACTTGGTGTCCTTAATGGAAATATTGTTGCTTTTTTCTTAGTTTTAACATTTCTGAGTGGTAATCGATCTGTGACTTGAGGAGAGGCTCTGAATTTCTGTTACCATTTAAAAATAAAATAAAATAAATAAAGAGAGGAAAAAAATCCGGTCCCTCGTTTGCTCGAACAAAATCAGCACCTGCTTCTCCTTGACTAATGAGCGCAAACCATTTCTACACCGCAGCTACCTTTTGTTCATTCCGCTCACCCACCCACGTACCACTAGAAAGCTGACCATGAAGCAAACGACAATAAAGGCAAATTAGAAAAAGGTAGAATTAAAAAAAGCAGCTGCACGAAACCCATGCCCACTAACCTTGATAACCTGGTCATCTGTAGACCTGCACTCCACCGACTCTGTTACATCAGAGACAGCTCCGTCTGTTCCTACGGTGACTACCTTTACTGGCACGGCGACTGTGCGCCCAGTGAGGACAGCTGTGTTGAGGATCTCGGTATCCTGCGAGGGAAAACAGAAAGACAAAAATGAGTATTATTCCTAACAACACAGTAACTGTGTTGAAAACTGACTTTTTGAGGTTCACAATAATACTGATATGGCTAAATCTGATATTCAGCCAGTGTTAAATTTTAAACACATCATAAACACAATCATTTTTGAAAAAGGAATCCCTGAAATGTGGTCATTAAAGAATTGTTCTGATACTATATATGAACAGGACATTTTACAGTTGAGTCGGTCAGGGGACTTTCATTGTCGGTTACAATAATACCCACTTAATCCAAGTACAGATTGTGGTCATGGTTAAAAGGATTTGTCGGAAATGGGAAATGAACAGTGGTCAAAGTCCAATGTTTTGTTGAGCCA